AAAAAGCAATAAAAAAAGAAGAAACCAAAATTTGGTCAAAGGGTTTAGGGTTAGGGTTCACCCCCCACCCCCATTTTACAACTTTTAGCTCTCATTAGTTTTTACTACTGTTAAGGCTACGGACAGTTTTGTCTTAAGAGTAGAATATTTGTGACTTTTTTTAAGAGTAGCAACGGAGGGTTAAGCGAGGAACTTTAGTCTCTTTCCTTTTGGCTCACAAAACTGATATCTTGAAGTACCAACATGCTGGTGATGTTGATGGTTTAGTCAAGTTCCTTGAATCAACCAAAGCTGAATCAACCTCTACTGATGTCGACTGGAAGACTGTCATCAATAAGCTCAAGGATAACCGACAATTGTTCAAGTCTAAATGTGGTCTTTTCAACCTTCGATTATGTAACAATATCAAAAAATGATCTAATTCAACAATTGTATCAATTGCTAGTCTTAAAAATGTGATATTAAATAAATTTATTCTTTAAAACAAATTGCTTTTCTTTTGATTGTCAGGTTAATATATTGAGTATCAAATGTTTATGTAAGACCATTATAAAATCAGTTTCATTAACCGCTTAAGACGCACTCATGGTTTCAAAAGAGATCTCCAAATATTAAATTGAATGCTCTATTTAGCGACTCGAAGAGTTCAAATCCAAGCAAACCTAATTTCAATTCATCAACTGGATCAATTCAAATAAAGATTATTTAATTTCTGTGTGTAAAACAGTCATAGCGAAACATTTAATTTGAGCTTTGGTTGATCTTATTGCACAAAAATGAAAGTCATAAAAGCGTTTATGGGCCACAAACAACGAAAATAACATTTTATGATTAACTTACAACTTACATCATTAACTTCTTAACTAAAATTATGAAGCGAAGTGCAAAATTTAAAGTCAATATTGAATCTATTTCGTATGAAGAGTATGGACTCTTGGAAAGGTATGAAACTCTCTACAAAACAATGAAACAATCGCGTTGAACTGCACAAACTGGTTTAAATAACATCTTCGAGTTTTGCAGTCAAGGATTATGGACTAAACCTTTGACTTTAGAGTAAAGAGTATGGACTTTGTGGGTCTGTATAAGCATTAAACTGGAATTCGAAAAACATACGAGCATGTCTACCATAACTTATTTCAAGTCAAAACATGAGTAAAGCACAATAACCATGAAGAAAAAGGTTTTTACTCTTATAAAAGACACATTTAACACATTTGTAACATTTATGCAACAAACTTGTACACAAATGGGCGCAAAACGGGTAAAAATTAATTTATTTCAAGTTTAAACTCTGTTAAGTTGTGAGGACATAAAAACTGAGTACTTTAGTGCTATTAAAAGGTTTCTCTAATCGATAGTTTCGAGAAAATCGAGTCCAAAGTTGGAACTTCGATTGCGTTTGTACATTGTGGGATCAGATATTTTCATGAGACTTCATCCCAATTCTATTACTTTTAATTATCAACAAGAAAAATGTACTCATTTTTAGAAATAAAATTCCCTGTTTTCTGTAAAACAGATCAGTTCGATTTTCGTTTAAATCGACCTATTTCTGTGATCGGGAAAGTTAGAGACCTGAAACTCACTGTCTGTACATAAAAATTGTTTGTACAAATCATGGATCAAATGTTTTCTCCTAATAATAAACAGTTCTCTTGATTTTGGCCCAATTTTGGCAACAAACCCAAAAATTTCGAGCCTCGTTATTTCGAGAATGGCATCATCTACGATCATCATTCTTGGACTAAACATTGGATTTTATTATGGGCTTTAATATGTTATGACTTAATATCAAAGAAAAGCTGCGCTGATGCAAGAAATGATGAATATATTTATAACAGATAAGATTCGGGTTCATCAACCACTTAACTTCATAAACCAAGAATCACTTCTGGTAACATAAGTAATAAAAGACTGTATCTTTTTATCGTAAAATCTTCAGTGGCCTAATATTTCAATAAATTATAGTCAGTGACAAACTCAAATGACTAATCGAAGAATGATGATCGTAGATGATTCCATTCGCGAAATATCGAGGCTCGAAATTTTTGGGTTAATGGCCAAAATCAAGAGAACTGTTTATTATTAGGAGAAAACATTTGATCCATGATTTGTACAAACAATTTTTATGTACAGACAGTGAGTTTCAGATCTCTAACTTTCCCGATCACAGAAAGAGGTCAATTTAAACGAAAATCGAATTGATCTGTTTTACAGAAAACAGAGAATTTTATTTCTAAAAATAAGTAGATTGTCTAGTTGATCATTAAAAGTTACTGAATAGGGATGAAGTCTCATGAAAATATCTGGTCCTAAAAACGTACAAAAGGCGATCGAAGTTTCAACTTTGGACTCGATTTTCTCGCAAACTATCGATAAGAGAAACCTTTTAATAGCACTGAAGGATTCAGTTTTTATGTGCCTACAACTTGCCAGAGTTTAAACTTGAAAGAAATTAATTTTTACCCGTTTTTAGCCCATATGTGTACAAGTTTGATGCATAAATTTTACAAATGTGTTAATTGTGTCTTTTATAATAGCAAAAACCCTTTTCTTCATGGTTTTTGTGCCAACTTCAGCTCATCTGCCCAATATATTGAACTATTTTATGCTAAAATCGCCCAAATGGGCTCAGTTTCTATGCTCGGATAAACTGACAGAGTCTAAATTTCAAAGAAAGTTCATTTGCAGTCGATTTTTACCCATTTGTGTCAATATTACAATTTTTGCTTTAATGTGACAACTTTGATGATTGTGTCTTTTTAGTACCAACCCGGTTTGAAATGGTTCATTAAACTGTCCAAATGATAAATTGAATTAAAGATAAATTTGGTAAAAAAATATTTAATATTATAATTAAATCACTATCCAAAAGTTATTAAATGGGAATAATATTAGAAGGAGGAAATAATTTTTAGAAACTTAAAAGGATAACATCATTTGTTTGCGATCATGAATAACATTTAATGGATAACAGATACATTGAATGTAACACAAATTACAAGATAGGAATTGATTCGAGAGATTTGTGATACAAGTTAATTAGTGTTTTAGTCTTGATTGCCAACAAAAGTTAAGAAAACTCTTGACAATATACTATTTGATTTAGCTCCAGTCGGTGCAGTTCCAGATGGTGGAAGTAAACCTGCACATTTGTCTCCTTTGTAAGATTGACAGACAATCTCGGGTAATCTTGATGCAGCCAGACGTACCAATTTACGACTAATTTCAACAGCTTCATCACCACATTTGGTTCGTAGATTGGTGGTTACACAATCCTCGAAACGTTTAAAGGCACAACAACTGGTTGCAATACGTTTGTCCCATTGAATGTCCGAGATTATTTCCAAAGCTGCTTTCAAGTCTTTTGTACATGTCTTTGAGTCTTTTCGTGATTCGGAGACACATTTAGCATGTTTCTTGTAGTCTTCCCGTAATTTGGTTCCAGCAGTACAGAACTCATCAGCAACTTTTTTAACTCCACTTCCAAGGAACTCAATCAATTCTCTCTGAGATTCTGTGGCACATTGGGTGGTAAAGTTTTTGTGACACTCTTCGGCTTCACGGATAAATCCACATTGTCGCTCAATTTCTTCGTCAGTTCCAGTAGCATCTATTAAAATGACATAAAAAATGTAAACATCAATTAGCTAGGCATAGTTAAAATTACCTGAAGGATTATTGGCAAACGCCGGTTGCAGCGTAAAGATTAAGCTCTCGAAGACGACATTTTTGGCTCTCAATCGCATTTGATTTTATCCTTAGATCATTTTTCCATTAAATAACTCTCTAAGTGTGATATTTAAAAAATCGCGAGAATTCAGGTTTAGAATTTTTTCCTTCATCCTCATGGCCTCATCGAAATCAAAATAAAAAGTGTCATCTGAAAAACTAGTTCTCATGTGATCCTAATGCCGTCCTAACGGAACTCCCTAGGTAATATGAATTTCCAACTGGTTTTAGGGAAACATATTCTACTCATCATTTCGATTGATATATTTCATTTTATTCTGAATCTTGGACCGATCTAGCTCTTGTACTTTGAAAGACAAGGTTGAGTCTGTAGTTAGGCTCATCGGTTTTTGGGCAAGATAACCGACTATTACGATTAGTTCTTTTTAATCATCGATTTTTATTTCAACCAAACAATGAATTTATCTTCTATTATAATATTCTTTTAATATCTTCTAATATTCATGTTTTCAGCTGTAATCTAAGTGACTCAATCGATAACCAAGTCGTTCTGGACTTGTATTCGTCAACGTATTCGCATCAATGTTTTTGTATCTGAACAGTCGATTGTAAATTTTAGGGAATACTTACCATTGTTTAAAAAACTGATTTATCTCAGAGTTTGAAACTTTCTTGTTATTAATTGGCATTAATGTTAATTTCATTTTCAAGACTAATCAATACAAATGCAAATTTAAGGTTCATAATTTAAGAAATAAATTTATAAAGTTAACTTGGATGAGGTGGAGCGGAAAATATCACCGAATCATTGTACAGATAGATTCAGATGAAAAGGTGCATTACTTTTATAAATATATATAAGCAAAAGGGAAATGGTATTTTCATAAAAAATTGGATAAAAATACAAAATGATCAGGATAAAAAGTTCATTGGTTGAATAAGTCAATAGTCACGATTCAATGGCAAATATATTTATCCATTTGGATGCGATGATTAGTTAATTAAGTTTGAATAAGATGCGGTATCACATCTAATCACCATGAATGACGATAAAATACATTTAGACGCTGGGATAATCTAGTTTCTCATGATTCAAATCAAAAAAAAGTGAAGCATTGAAACTTATGAGATTAATTAATTTGTCAAGTCAAAAAAATATAATGAAGCATCACAGATTTAAAAAATTGATTGAAAGGTATACTGAAATGCTTGTAGACAATACAAACTACTGTATTGATAAATTATTGTTGAGCTTTAGCAGCTTCAGCTCTGAATAATGAATTGATCCTGGAGCAAATTTTCAAAGCGGGTCCAAGCTTCATACTCATAGCAGACATAAGATGATCTTCCTTAAGTAACATGAGTGCTTGTCCATCGATTTCCTGGGATTTAAATTCATCAGCATATTCTTGACATCCAGGTAAATTTCGTACAAAATCATAAACATCTTGGACCTGATGGATACAATAAAAATAAATATTAGAAAAGGGGAAATAAAATGACAATTTGTTCTTAAATGAGATTGATTAAAGAAATGGTCCAAATTAACAATACTAACATTCCATAGATTAGGATTTGTTCCACTTGCAGGGATGAAACCTCCTTCATTTGTGTCCATAGATTCAGATGGAGCTTCAGCATTACCTCGATTTGGTGAGATATCGGTTTTTGGCTGTAAAGAGATGATTGTTTAGCGTTTTTTGACATTTTGATTTACTACTGTAAACTCTCTTCAATTGTCACAGAATTATGTCAACTCAGTTAACATTTTCTATCGGGTTAATTCTGAGGAGATTTTAACTATCTTTTTAATTCGACATAATATGTGAATGGTCGAAATGCTGATCCCGTGATGTGACATTGTGAGAGAGTTTATAGTAATTATGGAATTGTAGCTTACCTTCTTAAGATTAGGTTCACGATTTGGACTATGATCTGTTTTTGAATCCTGATTAGATTCAACAGTAAATTTGTTCATATTTTTGTCTGGTGATTCAAAATCTTCCGTACTGACAATACTGGGAATATTTGCATTATTAGCAAACTTTTTGGCACAAATATTGGAACAAAAACGTTTAGATTTTTTCTTCTTGTTTCCCTTTGTGATACTTTTACCACAATATTCACATACAGCGTCATTTTTAGATTTCAGAGGTGCAATTGCTGCTTCCGATGACATATTTTTACCAAGCATTTGATCATTCATAATAATTGTATCCTCTTTTTCATCATCTTCATTTGATGCAATGATTGTCCCTTCTGAATTTGCTTCTTGAGAGCCTTCAGTATTTATAGGGAATGGTGATTGACTTTCTTGAATAACAAATCCATCTATAACATGTGTTAACACTTCTTCATTGAGATAAGGTTTGACTATAGCTTTTTGTGGACTTTTTGCTCCATTTGATCTAGCAACACCATTAGTAGATTTTTTACGTCCATTATTCAAATTATTCATATCTTGAGGAGCATTGTTCTCAGAGATCACTGGCGTCATCAAACCAACATCGTTTCCAGTAGCAGCATCTTTTTTCCCGTCCACATCTCTGCTTGGAGATTGAATCATCTTTTCCTTCAGAGCATTATTTGAAACACTTCGCGCAGCCACAGTTTTATTTTTTAATTTTTCTTGGCCCTTGTTCGGAACATTTTGAGCAAATTTACTTTCATCATTAATTGCTTTAGGTGTCTGATAAGACCCATCGGTTTTATTGGCCCCCATCGGATCTGTCCCCATTGTACTGGTATTACAAGAATTATCTTGAGAAATCATCTTCTCACTGATTGATTGTGCAGCCAATGGATTATTAACTTGAGGAATCAATGTAACAGTCATAGTTTGACGTGCCTCTGATCCTTGTTTCTCAATTGGTATTTTATTTGTTGAGCTTTGAATGTTTTTTTGTGACTTTCCTTTCGAGACATTCATTGATGTTGTAGTAGAATTATTATTAGTAGGATGATTATGAGTAATTATTGGAGTTAATGTTTGAGATACAGTTGTTGAAGGAGCTGATGTAGATGTTTGTGTACCAATAGATGACTGAACTATGGCGGGTTTTAAATTTTTATATCGGTTTGTTGTTGGCGTATGTTGAGTTGCTGGTGCAATCATACATGTTTGCCCTTTATTTATCCCTGATTGAGTTGTATTGGTGGCAGTGTGAGAATTATTTGAAGAAACTGATATGACCGAAGTGCCACTAAGAGAATTGCTACTAACAAAGGCTGTACCACTCTGATTAATATAAAATGGTGTAGTATTGAAAGAGTTAGGTGCCACTATCACCATGTCAGATTGATTTGAAGCTCTAGGAAGATAATGTTGGTTGTTTGGCGCTAATATAGTAGGTCCAGTAGGTCCAGGGAAAGCCTGAATAAAATATTGATTATTCAGTCCTTGGGGTGATTGACCGGTAATAAAGCTATTTTGCGGCAGTGTTTTAAACTGTTGTGCCATCAAACCTTGTTGGCTAGTGATGACCGATTGAGGGAGAATATGAGGTGATTTAGGTTGAATCTGTTGAGTTCCTTGAGATATTACCTGCAATAAAAAGAAAAAAGGTTAGATCATGTATACAAAAAAATAAAGTTACCTAGTAAAAGTTAAATTCATAAATTAAAACAAGACAAAAAAACAAACCTTAGGAGAAACAGAATTAGAGATATTTCGGGCAGCCTGGGAATAGAAAATGAATAAAAAAATAATGAGATTGACATGCAAAAATAATGTAACTCTAGCAAGGGATACTTTCAGACAATATAAAATAGAAAAATTTAAAGAATAATGATTAAAACAAGTAAAATTACCAATTTCCCTCTTGGTTCATTAGATTTACCAGGATTGGGCAGAATGGTTGGTTGCTGGTTATTCGGTATAATTGTTGGTAGTTGAGAAGCTACTAGCGTGATTTGTGGTTGCTGTTGAGATGCTTGCATTTGTTGTTGTGGTGAAGCAGCAATGGCTACATTCTTATTCTGTTTATTACCATATTGATGTGTCATTTGAATAAGATTCCCTCCAGCTTGTTGTAAAGCCGTAATAGGCATGATAGTACCATTGTGTGAAAGCATAATTTGTGGTGAATACATTGAACTACATTGGATTGGAACTTGAGGCGAGTAGACTAATGTTTGTGGTTGCAACTGGGCTTGAGATTGATGTTGTTGTTGATTTGATTGTTGAGATTGTTGCTGCTGTTGATGTTGATGCTGAAGTTGTTGCTGTTGCTGTTGTTGTTGTTGTTGCTGCTGCTGTTGCTGCTGCTGTTGATGTTGTAAATCTTGTTGACTTTTCATCTTACACTGATTGTTTGTTCCTCACCGAATAACTAATAATTTAAGTTAATATAGAAAATTTATGATGTTATAAACTGAACACAGAGTAAATCACATTAATCAGTTAATTCTGAACATCAACATTGAACATTTCAGACCAAATTTCAAAGCAAAGAGTCTTTGCCAGAGAGCAAAAAAAAGCGACCTCTGAAAACATGAAAAGAAGACAAGCTCATTGTTTGGTTGAAATAAAATCCGACGGTTAAAAATAACTAACCGTAATAGTTGGTTACCCTAAACAAAAACCGAAAAACTAATGAGTCTACCTGCAGACTCAACCTTTTCTGTCAAATTTTAATTAACAGCTGTAATTAAAGCGACTTGATGGATAATCAAGTCGCAGCGTTCTGGAATTTTAATCATCAATGTATTGGCAAATTTGGTGACTGTCTATTGTTATTAAGATCATTGTAAGTCATTTTCTCATTGCTTTTTTGCTACTTGTTTACACTTTTTCACTTCTTTAAGTGGAACCATAATCCGTAAAAATGTATAAATCAGCGTTTTGTGTGTTTTTAATTTGGAAATGTTTTTTTTCTTACAGATTCTAGACCCGAATTATTCTTTTTAAACTGTGATTGATGACTCATAAGGAATCTTGAAACAAAAGAAAAATAATTATAGTGACCAAATTTACAACGATTCTAACAAATTAGTCACATTTTTAACCCGTTATGAAATAATTGTATGCACCTGATGTCAATGCTTCCTCATTATTGTGTCAGTATAGTTGTTTTCTGTGGCTCACGTGAAGCTCCATTTTCTCTTATTCATCTCATTGAAAGGTAACTCTTCATCGTAAGTTTCTTCTCATGTTTCTACTTGTATCCATCCAGTTTGATAATCATCAAAAATTGAATCAATCAAGTAGGCGTGGGGAAGGTTATGTAGTTTGATCTCTACTTATGCAATGGTTTAGTTTACCGGAGTTGATCTAATCAATCTTCACTGATTTCATTGTTAAATTTAAGCTTTAGCACATTAATATTAGTCTTTTAATTCTCCATTATCGTGCTTTTTAGGAGCTCAGCATAGTTTCCAAGAATTCCCATTGTCTCATTGCTCTAATTTAACTAATCCTTGATTTTAATTTTTCATAGTGTAATCCATCTATTCGTCTAATTACTCATCTTTATTGGTTCCGTGATATAAGGAGACAAAATCACCATTACTAGACTTACGAGATGAGTTTAAAATCTTTTGGCAAAGCTCTTGTTCGGCGAAAAAAGATAGATGACAACCAAGGACCAAGTACATTGAACCGATGTTTAGGAACATTGGATTTAACTGCCTTAGGTAAGTCTTAGATAATCTTTTTGTGTTGTTAGATTGATCTATTTTTCATTGCTTTCTTTCTTTTTTGCTTTCCAAATAAGGTATTGGAAGTACCTTAGGGTTGGGAATGTATGTGATAGCTGGAAAGGTTGCGAGTACAGAAGCTGGTCCAGCAGTGGTTTTATCATTTTTCTTTGCTGCTTTGGCTTCCGTTTTTGCTGGATTTTGTTATGCCGAATTCGGTGCTAGAGTTCCAAGAGCGGGGTCAGCTTATATCTACAGTTATGTCACTGTCGGGGAATTTACGGCATTTGTGATTGGTTGGAATTTGATACTCGAATATGTGATTGGTACAGCTTCAGTCGCAAGAGGATATAGTGGATACTTGGATTCTCTTTTCAATGGAACAATAGCGCACCATTTTCAAGAATGGATGCCCATTGGAATATCTCATATATCAGCTTATCCTGATCTCTTAGCGTTTGGGATAACATTACTCTTAACAAGTAAGTTCTTTTAGTTGATGGTACTCTATTCATGTTTCGTCTTTTCTAATGATCAATAAATTTCTCCATTTATTAGTTATGCTCGCAATCGGAGTGAAAGAATCGACTAGATTCAATTCCGTATTTACTTTGGTTAATTTAACTATTGTCATATTTGTGATCGTTTGTGGATCATTTAAAGTTGATTTCAAAAATTGGAAAATTCCTGAATCATCTGTTCCAAGTGGAAGTGGTACTGGTGGATTTTTACCTTTTGGTTTTTCAGGTGTTATGAAAGGAGCTGCCACTTGTTTTTATAGTTTTGTCGGTTTTGATATCATTGCTACAACCGGGGAAGAAGTACGAAATCCACAAAAGGCTATACCAATCAGTATTGTTGCCTCTCTCTTTGTCAGTTTTCTCGCCTACTTTGGTGTTTCAAGCATTCAAACTCTAATGTGGCCTTATTACGACTTGAATCAATCTGCTCCACTACCCTATGTTTTTGATCAAACTGGCTTCCACTTCGCCAAATGGATAATTACGATTGGTGCTCTTGCTGGGTTGTCAACCAGTTTGATGGGAGCCATGTTTCCACTACCAAGAATACTCTATGCAATGGCCAGTGATGGACTTATTTTCAGAAGTCTTGCCAATGTTAACACAAAAACCCAAACTCCTCTCTTAGCTACCATAATTTCAGGTATTTTTTCAGGATCTATGGCTGCTCTTTTTGACGTTAGTGAACTCGCAGATATGATGTCAATAGGCACTCTTCTTGCCTACACTCTCGTCGCAGTGGCCATTCTCATTCTAAGGTGAATTCAGATTTATTAATCTTTACAGCATATTCATCATATTCCCATGATGCATCATCTTTTAATTTATATTTGGCAAATCAGAAACAGATCAGATTTCCATTTTTTGTTTACATTTACTCTCCATCTTTATCGCATAATCTTAAGCATTATTATTGTCATAATTTCATTATTTATCAATACATTAGTGCTAATGCATTGTATTTTATCTTTCAGACATGAAAGTGGAAGTGAAACTTCTGATTCTAATCCTGTTACATCAAGTTCACAAGAGGCACTCTTTAACCAAGACTCTATACCAGAATCATCAAATCAACTTCGTTCTGTTGGAGTAACTCGAATAACTGGAAATTTTTTTCGAAGTTTATTCAATCTTGAAAAGTTGAATAAACCTGATGCACAAACTTCATTTTTCAGCAAACTTTTAATACTATCAATTTGTAAGTTTCACTCCAATAACTTATTAATCCACTTACATTTCATACACAGAATTGAAAATGAAGCTAGACCTCGATACCTTATCTTTCGCGCATTGTTTGGTATCCAAGCATATCGATGGTCAATTTTCCCGATAAATCGCTTAATTATCAACATCAACTCAAGACTTATTGCCTAAGGCATTATGATTTACATTCAAAAGATTTGAATCAATGTTCATTGTGCTTAAATTATCGCAAAAATTGAACATGGATTTGCTTGGATACCAAATAATGTGCAAAAGATTAGGCATCGAGGTCTAACTCCATTTTCAATTGATGTTTAATTGTATATTTGATCAATCTTTCAATTTTTAATTTTTAATTTCTTTAGGTATCAATGTTCTTATATTGGACTTATTGTTAGTAGTTTTTGAGAAGAAACTCACACATTTGGAAACCATTCCTTTAATATTTACTGGACTATCGATATTTTATCTTTTTATTTTAATTACTGCCCTTTGTCGACAACCCAGAAGTTCAACTACCATTTCCTTCCAAGTAAGCATTTCAATTTGATTATCTTTAGTTATTTGTCTAATATTTTTACTTTCAATTCTTTAGGTTCCATGGGTTCCCTTCATACCAATTCTTTCAATTTTCATCAATACCTATCTAATGATGAAACTTCCACCAGTAACTTGGGTTCGTTTTGCAGTTTGGATGACAATTGGTAAATAATATAAGATTCATTGAATACATGTTGATTATCTATCAAAGCTAATAGTTTTGGTTGCTCAGTTTTCAGCCACGAATGCTTAAATAGATTATTGATAATTATTGCTTTCATTTTCGATGGCTAATTGGTTCTATTTATTGATTATGATAAATTATTCTAGATAAAATCTTCTAGCAACGCTTTCTCTGTGAATTGAGCTTCAGGAACTTTATTATCCATAAGTCAACCAGTTTAACAATACATAATCTAGCTGCTGAACGATAAATTATTTTAATCGCTTCAGATTTTAGACAATTTTTATTTTATTTGAGCATCAGCGATTCTCTTAGAATGGAGGTGTAAAACGTTGGTTATACACATTTTGTTAATTAATAATGAGACTGTACAAACCAAATCATGTTATTGTATGAAAATTTCATATCTTTATGTTGAATAATCTATAACTTTTGATTAATCCTCTCACCCACAATTCATGATTTGTATCTATTTAGAGATTCAGATAATTTCTAGCATTGATATAAGGTAGTTAAATACGGCATTTAAGATGAAACATATTTTGCTATTTAGAGATTATTTTTGTGTTGATTTTAATCAACTAAAACCCTTACATTTCGATCGATATGTCATTCACTTTTGTTTATTGATCGATTATACTCAACACGAGGAGACCATAAATACATTCAATTCCTCCTCCAATGCTTCTAAATCAACACTTTCGACTCATTACTTCACTGATTTAATATTCAATTTGTTTTCTTGATTTCTTCTAGGCTTAGCGATTTATCTATTGTACGCATTAAAAAACAGCACTGGATATTTATCCTACTCTGAACGATGCCAAGTTTTGGGAATCAATGAAACTACTGATGGCGATTACAGCGAATCAAGGCCTAATTCACCCGATCGAGAGGAACGTCCACTTCTCTCTTAATTATAACAAATTTACTATTATTTTAAATACGTAAATGCTATTCTTATAAGTGAGATTAACAACGGATACCTGTAAATACGAAACAAAAAAAGATATTACTTACAAAGTGATAATAAACAGATAGGACTACAATTTAAAATTTAATATTTGTCTCTCAATCCGAGGAAAAAAACGCTTCCAATCCAGAAGACTGGGAACCAAATCAGGAGACAGCCAAATGAAGATATTTTAATCCATTATAGTTTCATTTTATCATGTTTTCCGTAAACAAACCAAAAGGCATAAACAGATTGCTGTAACCCATGAAGATGTACAATATTTGTCCGAATCAAGCGAATACCGAATTGAATTGTGACTTGTTTATGGATCCAATGTAACTCAATCCATTCTGTTATCACATTACATTTGGTTTATAGACAATAATCAATCATGATTTACAAAAGAAAGAAATTCTACAAAAAAATGGTTAAAATTGGAATCCAAAGATGAAATCAAATCCAATTATTTTGGTTTTGAAGATGAGATGATGAGCAGTCACAATCAGGATTGGAACCAGAAAAAAAAAGATGAAATAATATTGTTAACAACGATCAACTTATTAGATTTTATTAATCTTTTTATCATTCAACTTAATTATTTACATATATTTTAATTGTATAGCTCCTTGCTCCTGTTAGTCAATCAAGTCAACATAATTTAACTGTATATATTTTTTTGTCAAAATCATAAACTTATAATTTGATATAACTTTTAATATTTATATATATATAATTTTTACCATCCTCACTCTTGATTTTGTGTTAAATAAATCTCACTTTTACGCTTTGCAAATTTAAATTGTCGTTTTGATCGCCCACAAATTTATTTTAATTGTAATCTTTTATTTATAATATAATAACTTTCTTATATAATTTAATAATAATAATTATCTTTCCAATGATAATTCACTCTGTTTATCTACTTCTCAATACATAATATATTTTTGGTTTATATCTTTCTCGATTGAATTAAATTGTAGTTGGTGTTGCTTTGTAAATTGTTTGGACGACCAAATGTAATGGGTTATTTAGATTGTGTTGACTTGTGTTGTGTTGTGTGTATTTTGTTTGTGTGATTACAATGATTAATGTGTAAGAATAGTAATGGTAATGAACAATAATAATGATATTAATGATAATCGATAATCAAAAAGCCTATTTTCATCTTCAGAATCTTAATAATGAAACCATATTTTTTTTTGTTGCTTTTTCTTGTTACCTGACTTAATTATAATCTAAAGATATAACCAATTTAACTTCATTAGTATGATTTAACTCGTGAAAGACAAGAAATAGAGTGAAAAGCAAGAAAAAAGGATGATAATAATGATGGCAATGGTGGCGATGATTAAGGTAAAGTTGACCTTATGTTAGTTTTTCAATTGGAAATTACATTTTCCCTTGATTACGTCTATCGTGTAATTAAAGACTAATCACACTTATAATTAAATAAAAATCTCTTCTCATTTTTCATTAAACCATTTACAATAGTCATAAAGTCAATCAATAAAAATCTTCATTATTTTCTTGATCCATTTTCCTTGCTTTTCATTTGTTGGTTTACAATTGTTTTAACATGGTAATCTTTTGTGTTTGTGTTTTCATGTTTGAACTTCAAAATTTCAGCATTTCGTTTCTGTTCAGTAAATTTCCATGCAATTCCTTCGCCATTTTATCCATAAATATTTTGTGAATTTGTCGCTTGCGATGCTTGGTTAAAAGTCAATGATTGGCTTTGATATCTTTTGATAGCATTAGGTTTTAATTTGATCACATCAGGTCGTTTGTTGTTACTGTTAATTGCTCGAAAACCAGGTTTACATCATCATACATTTTCCTTTCAGCTTTTCCCTTCTTAACTGTGATCTAGACTTTTTCAAATCCAAGTTGAGTGACATATTACGATTTTTATCCAACGATAGTAATTCCTAGAAATGACAGAAATCAGAAATTAAATTAGTTGATAAGATTGTTTAAGGGATAAGATAATAGTAGGTGTGAAGATTGAGGATTTCATTTTGGGTTCAGAGGTTCAACTTCTTACAGACATTGGGTTGTTGGGTTTAATTTTTTGGATTTTTGGGTTTTCATTATATTTATATTTTGAGGATGATTAAGATACTTAAATTATTACAATATTAAAGTGTATTATTAACAATTTAGGTTTTATGATTTCAGTTTTGGGTTTGGGTTTTGTTTTTTCTGGTTAAGCTTTGTGCTTCATCAACTTGACTTACATATTTACAATGAAACGTTTCAGATTTGGGTTCAACTTTAGGTTTGTGTGTTGGGTTAAGATTGAAAATTGGGTTCACTAGTAGTGCTAACTTATAGCAGATAGCAGATTCAATAAATGTTGATAAAAGGATTGATAATCATTCTAAAGGTTGTTTTATTATCAGATTATCTCATTGATCGATTCCATTCAATCAAACGGATAACATTATTTACGAATGAAATAATCCAGTAAATACAGTAATAAGGTTAACAAGATTCAAGTATTTTTGTGGGTTACTTGGTTGTGTTATTGTTTAAATTCATCATATTTTCATCTAATCGTAACAAAAATTTTTTTAGAGACAGATTCTGATCGATTTGCGTAAATAAATAAATTCAATAGTTTAGTAGCAATCAAAATGAATGAGCAACATGAAGACAATAAAACAAAACAAAACTAGCAACACATGAAATGACAACATTGACGAAGGACAATTGTCCTGGAAAAAAGCAAATCATATTAATATACAATTTAGTGTAACAATTAAAAATTTATTGCAACAATAATGGAAGAAAAATCGATGTAATAGTAAAAGGCAATAAAACAGTTGACTGTTATAAATAAAAGTTCAATTAATGGCAAGATTGTCATTAGTAAATTGGTACAATTTGAAAATATCCAAATGTTTAACCAGTTTCCAGTATTGGGTTGAATGTTAACTGATTGGCATTATTAACATGCATCTCTGTTGTTGTTTTGATTGTTCAATCAATTGTTTTATTGATTTAGGTCAACATTTAAGATGATGATGTGGATGATGATGAGGATGATATGAATGATGAGTGAATAGATGTTGATAAGCTAGATACTTATTTGAAACAGAAGACAAGCGAAAAAGTGAATAAAATTTTCATCCAATTTTATCTGAGCAAACTCAATATTATTTACGTAAGTCAAGGACAAGATTTGAGGAAGAGGAGAAAGATTCTGATGAACATGATGACGACTATGATGACGGTGATGATGATGATGAATAAGATGAAGATATATTCTTATTCTTATTAGATGATTACATCATGTTCATCTTACTAGACAAAGGAATGGGCAAAAGTAACAAGAAAACAAACATGAAAGGCAAACATGAACAATAAGAGGAGCACAACAACGAAAAAAAGGAACATCAATTGACTGTAAATAAAGAATTAAAAAATGCCTTTTTTGGGTAACAATTCAAGTTAACCATTATTGTTATTGAGAAACATATCAATGAACATTGACTACATTTCAATCAGAATCAGCTAATCATGATTGTCCAGTAAACTTATCAACTTGTCACTTCAAGTGAAGCCAATAAATCAAAAGATTGAATAACAAAACAGTCAACCCAAAATGAAAATATTTTTCACCACAAATGGTGAAACCTAAACCAGTAAAGTGGCAAAGATGTAACCTTTAACAATCAAATCAACAAATTTAATGTGAAATTAATGATTAAATTTAAGGCCTAAAAATGAGTCAACAATATTAGTAAATATACAAAAGGATGAGGAGGAAAAAAATCAACTCAAGACCATGAATTGTTTCACTCTTTTAACTGGTTCTTTTGTTTTCATCTTTGCGTTTGACTTATTGGCTGTAAATCAAGATGAAGGAAGATGAGGATAAATTCAGTTTCAGTGTAGGAGTTGAAATAATGTTCACTGTTACCAGAATTTTTTTCTTGCTTCTTGCCTTTTCTCTTCTCTCTTCATTTTCCTTCTCTTTATTGTTAAAGGTCAACATGATTTTCCATTAATCTTTTCTCTTCCCTGTTACATTAAAAGTGAGTTTAGACAGGTAAATGCATACAACAATTTTCATCATCATTCTCATCATTCTCATCATTTTCCTTCTCATCTTTTCTTCTTGTGTCATCTAATTCTCTAGACAATTTAGCAAAATTTTCACTCCCAATCCAACAGTATTATTATGATAAACAGTGTTACATTATATTATTTGATTAAATTTTATATATTATTTGTCTTTTCATCATTTATCATTTTTTGTTTTGTTTTTTTTTCAATTTTTTCTAGTCTCTACTCTTTACATTGTATTTAATGCTATTAATTTCACCTAAATTTGCTCAAAAGTTGCATCCAACTCTGACTATCGATTAATAATCAATAAATTGCAATTTGTTATTACATTCAAAGTAGCAAATCCTCTTCAACCAGATTAACCATTTGACCGAATCTTTATAAGATCAAGATTTACCCAAATGATAAAAATAACAAAACTTAACCTTAAATTTGAGAATCGATTGCATCGGGTAAACAGTTATTTAGGTTAATATTAACAACTAATTGTAATCATTAAATTATTCTCAAGTTGAACGTTTAATCTGGTTGAAGAGGATTTATATTGCTACTCTTAAGGAAAGCCATTCTTGAAAATCTGGTTTCCACTTTTTGGGTAAAATGAAGTTTAAAATGAATGTTTTGTTTACATTTTTTACATTTCTCATAACCAGCAACATTAAAGAGTTTGAAAATGATGAAAATTGATTAAACATTGTTGGGTGTTAGTGTCAGTGAATGTTGATTAATCTGGCAACAATTGTTGACAATTAAAGGAAAATGAATTAAGTTAATGATGTTTCATAGGAAATGATTGTAATGATCATGTATAGGTGAACACACAAGTTACAGGGAATGGATACAGGGAATGTTAAAGGAGTTGGTTTGGATGGTGAACCAGTTTTTTGAGACTTGGAGTTAAACTTACCTGGAAAGCTTCTTTAACGTTGTGATTGGTTTTGGCTGAGGTTTCAATGAATCCACAGTTAATAAAAAATGTTTTCAATAAACTTTGCACTTCTTCAATTTGGACTTCACGAAGGTTCTCTTCATCACATTTGTTACCTACAACGATCGTTGGTATACTTTCACTTTCACCTTTAAACAAATGAAGAAGATAAATAATTATAACAATTTATCAATATCAACATATCAATCCATTAAGCCTACCTTTAACTGTCCTGATCAATTGTTGAATTGGCTTGATTTCCTCCAAACTTTGCTTTGATGTTATACTAATGAAAGATAATGAAAAAAACAAATGAGAGTCAAATGCAAGTCAAATGATAGTCTGGTTTAGTCAGAGAGAGACAATTAACATAATAGTTTCCACGATAATTAATGTCAAACCAAGTTTTCTGTTCGATTAATGCAATTACATTATAATTGGGTTTACCTGTTAAATAAAATGAACCTCAATAAAAAGCTGTTAGATTTTAAAGTGAAGGTAAAAGTAAAGTTTCAATCTTAAAAGCATGAAAATGGTTTCATCAAATTGAAAGTAAAAAGAGAAAGCATTTTCTTAATGCTTTTCAATGTAAAAATGCATTATTTTTCAGATCGCTTTATATTTATTTTTTCTTCCCCTTATTATTGTGTGTTAAAGCCATCATTAAAGTATCAGATTCATGATTATCACGCACATGAGAAATGCTCTTGTTAATATGGTTTTATCATTATTGTTCAATTTTATTCACTTTCATCAATTGTTAACACTTTTTCCCTGTTAATAGCATTGAAAACCTTTTCCAGCCACTGATTTTCAGTTTTCACCAAAAATTTTCATTATGGATAAACATTTTCAATTTAATAATGTTTCAACTGGTAATATACTTTTACCTTTCATTTCATCTTTAAATGGTAATGTATTAATATATCTCAATGATGGTAAAATTTACATTTAAAAAGATGTAAAAATAATGAAAAGGTTTATTCAACAGTGAATGCTGACCATTGATGTATCAAGTTATTGCTATTAATAATATTAAATATTGCGTTTTCTGGTTAATCAGTTAACCATTTTAAAGTGAAAATATTGCCATCAACAATATGATTAATATTTACAGTTGACTAATGATCAATAAGGTTGGCTATTAAAAACATTAAAAGGTATAAATCATTGAGAAAGTAGTTTGAAAAGGTAAATCAATTTTACATAAAAAGTAGACTTTTATTCAACCAGCTTTTTCCTAATCACAAATACAGTTATCGATTTTGCTTCATAATTTCAACCTTTTCAATTGTCCATGTTGTTTCACCAATTCTTAAGCTTTATTTCACCAAATCAATGAGATTTGGTGAAATATTTTTCAACAAGAGTAAACATTTCAATCATTTAAAGCTTGTAAATTACACTAATAGTGATAATAAAAGTAGCAACTCCCAGCAAATTTAACAGTTTTATTGAGCGGAAAATTGATTGATTTTTGAGTAAAAATTTGTTGAAACTTTACGTTAGGCTTCAAACACAATAAGCTCAAGTTTTTCGTAAAATTTTAGGTTCAAGTATCGAAAAATAATTCATCTGTAGATTCGGATAATTTTGCTAAATGTTTCATTCTTTTCAATCTTTTCTACTATTTCATGTTATTCAATATTTTTTCATGTGTTAATGAATTAGGTTATTGGTTTTGAACAATGGGAAAGCTTCATATTAACCACTCTGAAGGTTGAGCATAATATTTACATCAAACTGAAGGCCTGCATTTTTGAAAATTGATAACATCTATAAGTATTATGAATTCAATCAAGGTGGATGAATGGTGAAATTATCTCCAATTTATGCCTTTGTACTCATGATTGAAACTTGGAAACTTGATAACATTCAAAAGATAATTCTTCTCGTGTAAATATAATCAAATTGAAAGAAAATTTATTTATCCAATTTTCAGCTGAGAAACACTCTTACTGGTCTTGTATTTTGGGTTGAAAGCTGAAGCTAAAATAGGATCAAAATTTTCACAAAACTGGTTAAGAATCGGGTTCTTAAGAGGTTTTATTTTTTGTTTTCAATTGATAATGTAACTTGATATCAACTGTTTCAGCTTCTGACGATTATATTAAACACTTGAATGTTTCAATTTGTTTCAATTTACCTAAATTAAAAAAAGTGTAATAATGAAAACAAGTGAACCTTTTGTCTTCAATGTTTATGTTTACTTGAACCAGAAAATAGCAAATTTAATCAATAATGACCAATTAGACTGTTGAATACAATTAAATGCCAATTGAATGTTTGAGCATTAAAGGTATTGGGTTGAGTGGATAAATTGAGTCAAGTATCAAACATTAATTTGAATAAATTATGTAAAACCAAAGCAGAAAACAAAAAACAATATTAACTATTGATTTTTAACTGGTTTTTTCAAGCGAAGCTAAACAAGGAGAAAGCCATTTTTTTGGGTTTGATTCAAATCTGGTTGTGTAACTGTATCTAAATAACAGATTAATTATATTTACCTGTAAACCAGCATAAAAGCATGTCCTTTGGTTATGTTGAGCCTTTGCATAGCTGGGAATTGATGAGAACCAGTTGTATCAGTTATCTGAAGTGTACATATATTTTTGTTGCAAGAGATGACCTGTCTATATGTATCTTCAATGGTAGGGATATAAGTTTCCCGGAAAATACCTGAAGAGAGAGAGAGAAAGAACCCAAATTAATGATTACAGTAAATGTTACAAAATTGTGTGTAAACTCGGTAAACGTTAAAAATAGACATTTTATGTTCATTTGGACTGGAAATTTGTTTTTGTTTTTTAATACATTTTTCATGTAATATCATGCAATTGTCAAATGTACATTTATAAATCGATTGGTATGGTTAAAAGGGTATTAATATTATAAAGAGTCTAGACATTCTCAGAATGTATTTAGTATTGATAATGATATCAATATATATATATAAATATATTGTTTGACGTATTTTAGGAGTAAATCATTTTTTCATCAAACCAAATAAAGCTAAATTGGATAAGGATAATGATGGTTTCGTTTTGATTATAAATGTTATAAATAAGATATTAAGTGATATAAGAATATAATCATTTTTGTTCATGTCAAGTCAACATTTGACTGAACATTCAAAAGGGCAACAAATATTGAATAGAGTTGGAATCAAATTTTGAAGAAAACCCAAAAATTTTGAAGAAACCCAAAAATTTTGAAGAGAACCCAAAATTTTGAGACTCAATTTTTGGTAAAACTCATTTTTCTGGTTTGAGATTAAACAATTAATGAAATACAATTTGGTAAATGAATCCATTGTCAATTTAGTCGAAATTTTGTCCTGAAAATTGCTATTTACAATCATTTTGTGTCAACAATTTTTTGTGTATTTGGTTAAAGTCTTGCTGTTAATATAATGTATATTATATTTTGTATAATGTTTAATAATTGAATATGAACACCTACGAATGAAGATAAATCACGTTTTAAGGGAGAATAATTATTAACCTTTTTCTTGGTTAAATTTTTCTTCTTCCATTGAAACATGATGATAACGATGATTATCATGATATTGGTGAACTGAATGTTAACAAAAAAAAGTGGCAAATAAATATGTATAATTCCCACTGGGAAGTGGTAAGATGATAGAAGAGGAAAACCACGTAAAAAATGTATACTTTGACTTTGTTGTTGATAAAATATGATTACATGATAGTAAGGGAAAGTATGAAATAATTCATGTTTCATTCTGAAATTCATTGCACACCATTTTATACTTTTTGCAACTTCACTTTACAACATCAACTTTTGTTTTTTCAAGTAAGTGCATTAAGGTAATGACGATCATGGTGATCATCATCATCACCAAGATTATATAATAACGTAGGTGGGTAAAATATCGAGATAATTTATCTTCCTCATCTTCCATCATGTTCACTTTCCATTGACCCTTTTTTCCCTGAAAGGGTAAAGGTTACTTTGCTTCTTACATGTAACATCATTTGTTCAACATTCACTTTACAATCAATATTTTTTTCTGCTCGCCTGTTTTTTGCTCATTAACTTGTCGTTGGTTTTATTAATTGATCAGAGAATCTCAATTCTGGCTGATAAATTTATTTACATTTGGATTGATTATATTTCTTATTATTGATAATATCTTTAACCATTAATGGATCTTTTATTTGCTAATTGTGTCAATAAGGTTGAGATGAAAATTTTGATCAATGTTGACAAACTCGACTCGTAATTTGGTTACATTTTTGGGTGAGATGATCAATGAAATGGGATGTTTTGAGAGACATTTTTTGCCTTCTTTAGTCTGTATATTTATAATTTATACTTGTTTTGATGGTAATCAAAGGGAAAGGTGGGAATCGATTAAAAAATAATAAAACAAGATCAACATTTTAATATCACAGTGATATCATCATGATGATGGCTTAGTTTTATGGTAGCCATTAAATTGGGAAAAGGTTTTGATGGATAAATTTGGCTCAAAGAAATAAAACTAAATATTGTTTCCGATCGTAATAAAGATTTAGTTTGTGTGTAATTACCTTTAACAAATCGTAGAACCAGACTTGATTTTCCAACTCCACCAGCACCAAAAACAACAACTCGGTAATCATTGCTTTGCTCAGGCATTGCTTTAACCGAGGAGCCAACAACAGTTGTTGTTGAGTTTGATGTAATACCCGAAATGGGCTCACAATTGTCACCCTTTTTAGCGATTTTGGCGATTTAACTAATTAACTAACTGATAAAATAGATACTTTACAGTTCACTTGATAAAAAATGAATCAAATTGCATTACTTTAACAGCCAATCAATTCTCTATTTTTAAGATTTTCAGCAAAGAAACACGTAAAGGATCTTCAATAAGGAAATCAATTAAAATGTAAAAATAACAGTTTTTAACAAGGATTTAACAAAAATAAAATTAGAAAATAAAAGATTGCACTTTTCGGGTTGCTTCAATACCAAAAGTAGATTTGGTTTCGTGAATTAAACATACTAAATCAGGTCAATCGCGATTCGATCGCAAAAAGAGTAGTTTCACCTCAAGATGATGCATTATCAAAGCTGATTTTTACTGGTTTAAGGAAAATCGAATTTGTTGGAAAAGAAAACTGTTCGAGTTCGTCCTATTGAGGAGTTCTGGGCAATATGTTAAGCTGAATATGTTGAGGAAAAAATCAAGCTACGGATATCTCTGAGTTCAGTAGAGATTGGGTGAAATTATTGAAAGGAGTAACGAGTCGTTCTGGACTTGATCTAGGGAAAAGTGTTGACTCAAAATTGCTGAAAATCTCTGAAAATCGAGAATTTAGTGTTTAATAAAGGTTGATGATTCTATTTATCGATTGAATAATCAATTTGTCTAAAAAAATTCAATTTATGTTTATTCCCACTATTTAGGGATCACTTATTTCCAATGAATAGACTTTGTAGTTCCAATAAAATTCATTGTCACCAATTTACAAGATTTCGGTTGATTATGGACATTTTCATTGAACAAACACGTTGTTGAAGTTGATTGAAACTGTGAAATTTTGATTAACAGCACCTTAATTGTTGAGTTGACAGTTTATATAAAAATCGTTGTTGAACATGGAAGTGAAGAGGAAAAGTCAAGAAAACAGAGAAAATATCACTTTTCTCTATTGATAGGAGTGAAGGTAAAACACTGTTAGTGGAATCAACAATAAAATAATGATTGATTTAACAATGTTGATTGAGAAGAAGCAATAAATTGATTAAATAGAGACACTGATGATGAGTTCATCACAAATGGTTGAAAAATCATGTTTTGTAATAAAATCCGTTTTCCAAAAGAAAAAATGTCGTCTGATGTTATCTGTTTATTTTCTGGTCTCTTCTGGTTAAGATTTTCTGGTTAGATTGATGTAGTGGGAAAAAAAGGTAAACCAAAAGGATAAAATAAGTGTTTTATATTTAAAATTAAAATTTTTAAATTATCCAGTTAATCACAATAATAAATCTATATTGAATAATCTTACTTGGTTGGATGAGAAAGATGATAATGAGTGAATAACAAAATGATAAGGATTTACATTCTGCATATGGATACAATCAAATCTATCTGGTTCTAGAAGGATTTTTTATCCTTAACCGGATTTGTTATTTCTTTCAACACTAGATGACACTTTCTGCTGGGAGTTTTATTCGTACGTCTTTAGTCTAGTTTCAGCTTTAGTCTTGGAGTTATTTAATTTTTTATTTATTTCGTGTTTCAATCTAATTAAGTTAACTAAAGCTGCAAGATATTTGAATTAAAATATCATAGGGAACTTGATCAATGAAAGAGGAAGCAAATATTAGAAACAATCCAACCTCAACTCAAGGAAAAATAATCACTCCATTGCATTTGAAAAATTCAGTAATCTTGGATTTCTGCTCGCTTTTAATAATTACTGTATTCATTCAATAATAATAAAGATATTATTAATGTTGGAAATATTGATGAATTTTTATTTAATTCAGATGAATGTGTGATGTTAATATTAAGGAAGGCTTCCTAAGAAATAGTGGGAATGGATTGAAATGTAAAAATAACGTTTTTAACGAGGATATTATTAAAAAGTCAAGTTTGAAAATAAAAGATTGCACTTTTTTGGTTTATTTGATGCCAAAAGTAGACTTAAATTTGTGAATTAAATATGCTAATAATAAGGCCAAACGCGATGCTCTTGCGGAAAAGCTTTTCATTTCATTGTGATTCTGGTGCATTTGACTCTAAAGTAACCTGACAACACTTGAAGTCCGAAGGAATTCCAAGTTTAACATTTTACCGTATAATAAAAGGTTTATTGGGGAAAAGGTGAAAACAAATATTCCGTGACCGGACCGTCGATCGGTGAAAATAATGACTTTCAGAGTTTCAAGTGCTGTGAAGGAAATTTGTATGCCAGAAAACACTTCGATCTCAGAGACTGAAGCTGCTAAAAAACTGGAATTAAGTGTTTCGATCCTTGGTCATATCAAGAGAAAATTAGAAGCTAAAAAAATTCATTCCATAGGAACTTTTTATTACATTTACACATTGCAGATATTTTGAAAATCGGACCAAATGAACGACTATTTTTCTTTATTTCTTACATTTTTATCGTTTGCAATCATTTGTTGAGCCTTTTTCAACATTGACTCATTGAAGTTGATTATAAAACAAACATCATTTTAATAACACATGATTTCAACAATAAAACCTGTATTCATTGAATTCATACAAAACCTGTGAAGGCAATGGCTAAATTTCATGTTTCTAACATTACTTTTATCCTCAACTCTTTTCAATAAACTAAAATTTAGACTTATTTCATTGGAAATAAATTGAATGAGCATGAAGCTCATCGAGCTTTTTATTTACAATCAAACAGTTACATAATTTTATGGAAAAAGACTAACTAGATGAATTTTACAGAAGAGGTACCATTAGAATAATTAAACTCTAATACATTTGATCTTGTCTGCGATTTCTTCCAAAATTTTGCCGCCTACTTTCTACTTGCGTATTTCCTCGCCTAATTTCTTTTATGTATCTTTTAGAAGAATTGGCCAGATCTATTATTCTTTCGTCCACGTTAACATCAGCTTCTTTTAAAACTTGCACCATGTCACGAGCCAATAAAGCATCTTCAGGTGTGAAAAAAGTATATGAAAAGCCTTTCTTTCCTTGACGTGCCGTTCTACCAACACGATGAACGTAATCTTCGATTACATTGGGCATATCAACGTTAATTACATGTGTAATGTCATCTACATCTAAACCACGAGATGCAACATCAGTAGCAACTAAAATTTGTCGTTGTCCTTTTCTGAAACCTTGAAGAATACCTTCTCGAGCTGCTTGGGATTTGTCTCCATGTATTCCAGATGACAGATATCTTTTTGAGTTCAAAAGATTTGTGAAAATATCTACTCGTCGCTTGGTTTGACAAAATATTAATATCTTCGCCTTTTTTCCATACTCTTTTATAATGTTCTCAACTAAACCAAGTAATCGATTGGACTTGTCATATTGCTGACAGAAAAATACTTCTTGGGTGATATTTGGATTAGCTTTTAAGGTTTTGCTGCCTGCGGTGATTGTTACATATTCTTTGAGAAACTCTGAAGCTAGATCTTGAATCTCTTCAGGCCAGGTAGCAGACCACATCAGGGTTTGGCGATCGTCAGGCAAGTTGTTTACAATACGTCTAACTTGAGGTTCGAATCCAAGGTCTAACATACGATCAGCTTCGTCCAGGACTAAGTAAGAGACATTTGATGTATTTAGCCAACGTGATTCAATAAAATCGTTTATACGACCAGGAGTTCCGACTACGATTGAAGGCTTGATATTGTCAATATTTTTCTGTTGAACAAATCGAGAACTTCCACCAAATAAACAAACAGATTGGTAACCAATTTCAGAGCAAATTGCAGCAGTTTGCTGAGCTAGCTCACGTGTAGGAGCTAAAACTAAAACACTGGGACCGTCATAATCAGATTGTTTGTTGTTTAATATGTGAACAATTGCTGGTAACAGGAATGCTATTGTCTTTCCTGAACCTGTCCGGGCGATACCGACAAGATCTCTACCTTCCAAAGCAACTGGTAATGTTTGTCCTTGAATACCAGTTGGATGAACGAAACCTTTCTTTTCTATATATGATTGAATTTTTTGTGGCCAATGATAATCATTGAAATTAAGAAAAGGTGCAGGTACATCATCACCTTCAACAATTATTTCCTCTTCAAAGTAAGATGTGTCTTTGATTTCCTGGTCTCTCTTTGATAATTCACTTGATTCTATGTTGGTCAGAGATGGACTAGAAATTACTGGAGCCAGATCATGTTTAAGTCTGAGCGATTGGAAATATGAAACAGGAGCCAACCGAGTATAGTTAAATCTGGCTGATGCATTAAAGACAGAGGGTTTAACAAATCTATGTAATAATCGATAACTTATTGAAGAGCAACGCATGATGAAAATTCTGTAAAAAAATGAAAATATGCATTAAATGAAATGAAAAAAATCGGCGACTTAAATACTAAGGCTTATAGATTAGTTTTGGTGAAAAACAAAAACAATTTCACAGATTTACATGATTTTGACAGCAAAATGTCTCACAATTGTTAAGCTTGATGATTTGAAAACATACTTACTTTTAATTTAAATTAAAAACACAAAAACTTTGATTATAATTAAATTTGTAACAAAATGCGTCATATAAAAACTACAAATTAAATGTGGTTTTTCAAGCACATGTTACTCTTTGGACATGCTCCATGAGCACTAAAAGCATAAAAAGCATAAAAAGCGTAAAGCATATTCTGTGCAAATCTATGCTTATAATCAAGAGCTCTCTGGTTTAAATTAATTTATTTAACTAATTCTAAAGCTTTTGTTAACCTTTGACTCCAATTTGTTTGATAAATTTTCGTAAAATTATATTACAATATTATATTATATTGGCATGAAATACACCAGAGATACTGTTATGTTTTCTTCATCTTCCCTCAAGCTTATGGATTCCTGTTTTTAGGTGAGTTCCTTAGTATTGCTTAAGTATTTATTCTGATTGCATTTATTTCATTTTTTCTTCTTTCTATTGTTTTCTTTTGCATGTGTTTTCATTGTAAATCATCTTTTATATTTATCATCATTCTCAGATTGAGTTAACCACAACCTTTAAAGAACTGTATTTCAACAATTTTGACTCCATCTCAAGACACATTTCAAGCTCATTTTGTCAGCTGTTCTTTTCATCAAATTTAATTGTTACTCTTTTCTCTTCTTCATCCAACATCCATCTCATCCAACATTCAGTGATGGCAGGAAAGAAAATCTTCTTTGATAATTTTGTGTCTAAAAACGCTTTAACTTTACCACGAAAAGGTCGAGATCCTATTCTTGGTGATCTATACACTAACGCAAGAAAACTTACTCTTAAAAGGATTGTGAAAGTTCAAGCAACATTTGATCCCTTCTACCCTAATATTGCTTCTTTTAGGTAATTATAATTTCTCCAATCACCTTACCCCAATATACGCTAATAGATCCTAGCCATTTATTACTGTTAATTAATCTACCTAAACACTTTCTTACATATTGTGATCTCATACTTAATTCGCCTTTTATTCTTTTCTTGATTTCACAGAGAGTTGCTTCATTTTTTACACGGGAAAAAAATTGGTAGAACCAACGAGGAATGTTTCATCAAAACAAATGTTGTTAGTAATGGAAATGAACCTGAAATACAATTTTTCTTAAGTGAGTATAACTTGATGAATTGACTATTTCCCCTAGCAACTATAAAATCTAATCTATCTCTATTAATTTTTCAGAAAACGGTAAAAAATTGATCTACAAAACAGGATTACTGCGAACGATCGATATTTTGTATCATCTTAATGATCAATTGGCCAAAGTAGAAGCTGAACTTGCTAAATCTGAAATTTAAAGTTTTGAATTCGTGAAATTAGTCGTATTATAGTTGAGATGGCTGGTAGATCATATCAAGCTGTGCTGGAAATTTTTCGTAAACTCGAAGCCAATATGCCTTATTTTGTGGACGTATTTGACGAAGAAACATTTTACATCTTTGCCGCTTGTTTTGTTATCGCTACTATTTTAGTAGCCTTCATCTTATCTAGGTTCATTACTCTACGAGAGGTTGATTGGTAACCTAAATTATCTTTTTTTTGTAACAAAAATTTGCAGTAAAATGATTAACGTCTCTGCACTACCTCAATCACTTCATTCATTTGAGCAACCAAATCATCCAGAAAACTTCTCGGATAATTTTCACGCAAAAAAACAGTTGGAATACATCAATTACTAATTCAGAGATCAATTTGGAACACATTTAAAGACATAAAGATCATACGTAGAAGTAAATAGTCATACATTATTGATGTTTTTGAAAATCCATTATTTTTTTGATACTCAATTATCATTAGGCTCAACAGTCTTGATCGATGATATTTACTTTTGATTCTACTCCGTCAGCCTTTTTCGCCATTCTTAATTTGAGCATTATTTATCAATGCTTTTATCGATTGACCCTGAATTGAATTCTACACAATTTGTTTTCAATTAAGTGTTGCACAGGCAACAACAAATAAATTATAAACACAGAGCAAGTAAACCTAATCTTTACCTTAAAATAATCCTTTGGTAAAGAGCTATTAAAATTGAAGATGTTCCATGATACAAAGAGCAAATACCAATAAGAAATAAATTAGAATTGAAAATATCAGAATTAATTATGTTAATTTGATTAAATGAATGCACAATCATCAACTCAGAATCTCAGAATCAAACTTTAGAGAAGGTGAAAAAAAGCAATAGATGGCGTTAAAGATGGCAAATATGCGTAAAAGCTTGAATGGTTTGCTTGTAGAGTTTGTTTTAATCTTTACACAAGATTATAACTGGATTCATCTATTGTATAATGTATTCTTTATTCTTAATGTGAATATTCAATGTACTCTATTATTAATTTAATCAATTATGTGATTTGACAGTAATTTTAGATTTTTGTGTGTCTCCAAGCATAAATAAAAAAACCAGTACAAGATGAATCTCATCCTAATGCGTCTACTTGTCTCAGCGTCAACATAACCAAAGAAAATAATTCTTTAATCCAGTGGCATAAACAAATTTAGTGTTTTACAACAATGTTAATTATTGAATATCGGATTCCTCTTCCACTCTCAGTGGACGAGTATAGAGTGGCTCAACTTTACATGATCGCCGTGAGTAAATCTTTTCTATTCAATTCCTTCCCTCTTATATAAGAAGACATTTGGCAACATCTGTATATTAATTTAAAATTTGAAGTCAAAACAAAACGAGTGACCGTTTTTTTGCATCCAATCTGATGGATAATATTATTGCCTTTTGCTGATATTTTTCAGTCTATTATTTATTTATTTTGTTCACTTGATCAATCTAGATAGCTAAATTGGTTAGTTTATTGATTAACTCAAGAGATTTGGCAATTTCCAATCTTTTGACATTAACTCAAAGCATTTTTATGGTTATCTTTTTTCTTCTTTTTCCCTTTCACTCTCGTCTTCCTCACTTCGTTTGTTCTTCTTTTTTCATGTCCCCTTTACTTTCTTCATTGAAGACGAAAAAAGAAGTTATTCACTGAATAGAAACCTTTCAAATACAAAACATATATTCCTTCGAGTATGTTACTTGATGAGATTTACCTTGAAAAATATCACCATTCTCAATAAAAGATTAGATTAGACAGTCATCATGTTCACAAATCGTAAAACCTGAGCTTGGCGATTAAGATCAATAATTAAATTATTTTGCTTGTACAGAAAGTAATATTCTATCTATTCTCCTTTTCGACTAAGTCACCAATCGTCAAACCAATTCAATTATTCAAGACAATCTATTATCTTCTCACTGTCTGTCTTCATCATCAATCATTCAAAAAAAAATTCAATTCAATTTAAGATTAAGTTATAAAAGATCTAAACTCCATCATCATTAACCTTAAGACTATTAATACTCTTTCTTTTAATCAATCAGTATCAAATATCAACGAGAAATTGACTTTTAGTATCTTGATTATTTTTTGATACGTATATTATATTAGTTTGTATTAGCCATTTTCATTTATTTATTAACTGACATTATCTCTAAATCCAAATCTAAATCTAATTTACCCTTTTGTTTACCAGAAAAAATCTGCTGAGGAAACAAGTGGAGCTGGAAGTGGAGTTGAAATCCTCGTTAATGAACCCTATGTTGATGGTCCAGGAGGTCAAGGTCAATATACTCACAAAATTTATTACATTGGTCAACATCTTCCAGGTAAAGTGTTTTCTTTCCTCAACAAAACTGTGTCAATCGAGTAATTTACTCAATCATGATTACCTTGTACTAATATAAATGTATACAAACTTAATTTTTTTCAGGTTGGTTAAAAGCTTTGGTCCCCAAAACAGCTGTAGTTGAAGAGGAAGCTTGGAATGCTTATCCATACACGAAAACCCGTTATACTTGTCCTCTTATGGAAAAATTTTCAATCGATATCGAAACTAGATATTTCGATGATCCTGGAAATCAAGAGAATGTCTTTAATTTACCAAACTCTGAATTAAAGAATCGAATTGTTGGTAAGATGATTAATTTTCATCACAAACATAATACCAAATCGATGATTGATTCTCTTTCAATTGACATTGTTTAGCATATTTTCAACCAATTTATCAACTAAACTTGTCAACTTTTTCAACTCTTTTTTTTTCTTCTCATGTTCTTTGAGGCAATTCAACAAATCAAGTAATTGATAGGGAGTAAATAAATTAGCCATCAATTGATATGTATAAGGACAGACAATACAACAAATCATACTTCCTATAGACATTGCCTTTTCTTCCTTTACCATCAATATAAGTAATAGCCTTTTCTTCCTCATCTTTCTTTTCATCCCTTTCATTTCAACTTGCATCCCATGTCCATCTTTATTATTATGATTGGTTCTTTTCTTTTCAAAACGTTTCTCACTTAACTTCCTCTCACTCAATTATCTAGTCAAAAGTGAATATGACCTTTCGATGATTTTGTCCCAATCTTGAATAAAAAAGAATGATTTTTGTCAAGTTGCTCATTGATATTGAATTTGAATTTAGTAGAAAATTGTTTTTCTATCAAAACCCAGTAACTTATTTCCTTTCCTCTTCCTTTCTCATCCTTTGCCAATCCTTTTCCTTGCTTCTTTATCACCACCCTTTGAGATCATATGCATTCATATTGATAAACATTAAACCCTTTTGCTCATAGCCTTTGCTCATAATTCAAAAAAGTGAAATTTTTCATGGTTTCTAAAATAGCCCTAATTAAGTAAATACAGCAATTATGGTTAAAATGATCCAGTGAATAAACAACAATCTGATTTAGGTCATCTTCTTGATGAGCTATTTAAACATGATTTAATACAGCGATGATAACACCTTTCAAGCATTTCTAATTATCATAAACTTTAATAAATGAACATTTAACTTCTAAAAACTGTAATGGACTAAAAATTGAAGTTGTTCATCTCAATGGTAATACAAGATACTTCATTCAAAGGGAAAATTAGAGGATGTTAGTTTTTGCGTTTGATAGTGAATCTAATTGTAAATTATGGCGGTGATAATAATAATTACAGTCATGTTTACTTTTTTCGTTCATACCAATTGATTACAACACTCTTGGTTACTGTAAATGAGTTTCATAATGATGATGGTGCATTTACAATTCTTCAATCTATTTTCAGAATCTTGAGCAAACAGACGTCTTGTATCTAGTTTATTACAACAATTTCAATTTTATTTTATTCCTTCCTTTTGTATATTTTTTTGCTCTTTTCTAATTAAATCTCTTTTCTCTTTTCTATTTAGATGTAATTGACATTGTTAAAGATCAACTGTTAAGCAATGAGTATAAAGAAGAGGAAGATCCTACAATTTATGTTTCCCAAAAGACTGGCCGAGGTCCACTTACCCATGATTGGGTTGAAGATCACTGGGAATCCATGAAGAAAACACCAACTCTGTCGATATCCGATAAACGTATCATGTGTGCATATAAATTGGTTCGTGTTGAGTTCAAATATTGGGGAATGCAGAGTAAAATTGAAAAATATATCCATGAAGCTCGTAAGATTCATTGATTATCACATTTTATCACTCAGACACATCTTTTTATGCCACTTCTCTGAGACAACTATTATCCATTTCAACTGAGCTTAGTTTATTTTAACATTTAATCACTTTGACATTTTTTTCACTTATATAAATACCCTTTGAAATTTCAAAGTATTTTCTTAACTGATCATTGTATTATATGAAATGGAAATGTCACAGGAATAGGAAGTTATGGCATTAATTGATGTGATATTAAAGCCTAGATCAAGTGATTATTTAACTAACTGTTCAACTGTTCATTTTTCTCATAATTTTATTTAGCTCTTCGTAAAACAATGTTACAAGCTCACCGTCAAGCTTGGGCTTGGCAGGATGAATGGTTTGGTTTAACCATGGATGATATCCGTCGCCTAGAAAGGGAAATACAGGAGCAATTAGCTAAAAAAATGGCAGCAATAAACGATCCCAACGCAAAAGATAATACTGACTCAATTGAAAATAACACTAATAAATTGGAAACTAATCATCCATCTCAGGAGGTTAATTTGGATATAATAGACAAAGATAAAGACGATGAAGTAAAAAAATTATCCATTGAAATTCCTCGCAATAAAAGTCCATCGCCAAGTATTAATCAACAACAACAACCTCAACAATCTAAACCAAAGCAACTCGATGATCAAATTCATGAACAACACCAAGGAACGCAGAGAAGACTTTCATTGCGTAAAAGCTCACGCACGGGACTTCATTCACCCGGTAATTAGACTCGGCACCTAAAACATAAATTTTCATTCAGTAACTTATTTATCATTTTAATTAAATTGTTTTCAGGAGAAACCTCTAATCAAAGTTTAGATGTACAAATTGCCAGTTGGCGAATGGAAAGTATTGCCAATGAAGAAGAAGAATCAAGTTCAAATGAAGAATTTTATGATGCTCAAGGTAAATTCATTAATTTAAAATAATTCAAATTCTTCTTCTAATTGTTGCTACACATATGCGTATACAAAAAAATCTATTGATTGCTTGTTTATCTTTATTAAAATTATAATTTTTTCTTATTATTTTCCCCATTATGAAGGCTAACTTTTACTCTCGTTATTGTTATACATTTTCATTATTTGGCTTCCATTTATTTTTCAGAAATGCTTGAAAGAGAATCATTATCTAAATGGAGTTCTCTGGAATTTTCACCACCAGAAGATTCAAACGAACATGGGACAATAAAAGATCATCATGAAGATCCATTAGCTACTGAAGGTAAACCAATAAACCAAAAAATCATAAGAGAGTTATAATATCGTTATATCTTTTTTCATACTAATATCATCTTTTTGCCTTTCTCATCTAATTTAATATCTTTTTAAATTTTTGATATCCTTTTTTCCCATTAAATATTTTACTAAAATCTATTCTCTTTCTTACTTACAGATAGTATTTTTTCAAGCTCATTTATTCATAAAACTCAACTGGAACATTCCCGTAAACATATATCCAGTATTATGACCTGTGGTTCACTCGATCATTCGGCACCAACATCACCCACAGTTTCACCAAGTCATCATCCTCATCCTCATTATCATCACTCCCATCAAATTGTCAATACATCATCATCAACCAGTTTCCTTATTATCATCATTCACGGTGGCAATATCCTTGAATCAGGAGCTGAACCCATTTCATCTAAAAAATCAGATTTCACCACTTTCCGAGGAGCCTTTGAATCAGTTATCAGGTCACATTATCCTTCGTTGACAGGGAAAATTGCATTTCGTTTAGTAATCGCTCCAGCCATTTGTGCTGACGCTTTAGCTGTTTTATCAAGTCTGAGTCCATACAGTTTTCAATCTTCTCCATCGGCCATTGATGGAGTCTGTCATTCATATGAAGCAGTTCCTTTCGGATCCTTGCCCTTATTTGCCATTTCATCACAAGAATATCAAGATAATGTGTCAAAAGTAATTAACACAGCCAACCAAGTATATCAAGAATTTCTTAAATCAGAGGAAGGTCTTGGTTTTTCTGGAGGTGTTATTCTCATTGGTGATTCCATTGGCTCTGTGATAGGTTTTGATGCTCTTTGTCGATCATCATTGAACAACAATAATAATTCCTTTAATGGAAGTGATAATAGTATTGCTGATATGGCTGAAAATATATCAAATACTTCAGGCGGTAATAGTCGACCCAAATCAGCAAGTCCTGCTAATCTTACTTTACGTCAAAATCCACTTATATCAATTTCAGATGGAAGTGGTCCTGAGGACTGTGATGAAATTAAATGTGATTCATTTAGACCTGCATCATCATCATCAACATCAGCACCAGTATCAACACAGCCCCAACCTCCGACTAATGTTACTTCTGGTTTCAACCGGAGAAGTAAAATGTCCAAAAATCGATCCCAAGATTCATTTAACAACAATCATGAAGATAATGTCCATCTTTACCTCAAACTTTTATCAGCACCAGAATCTCGTAGAAGAAGTTCTGGTGATTCAAGTGATCAAAGTTATTCGCATAAATTTGAATTTGATGTCAGTGATTTTTTCATGTTTGGTTCCCCACTCAGTTTGGTTTTAACTTTTCGTAAAATGCTCTACCTGGAAGATAAAAATTGTAAGTAAACCTTTTTCATCAAACAAATTAATCGTTAATCATAATCCATTTGTTTCAATCTTTCTTTTTTCACAGCCATGTTTGCTAAACCCAGTTGTACACAGCTTTATAATTTGTTTCATCCTATGGATCCAACTGTTCTCAGAATCGAACCATTATTGAGCGCTCGATTCTCTCATATTCCTCCCATTAACGTTCCAAAGTATTCAAAATTTCCGTTAGGAGATGGACAAAATCTTTGTTTAAGTAAATATAATAGTGATCAACATTTCTTGTATAAATCTTATAATTTATATCTAATTTTAAATTTATCATTTCTTTCAACAGACGACTGCATGAGTCATTACGCCCATGTTTTTACAAGTTCATCTTTAACCATTGGACAACACACTACTTATCCTCGTCGCGTCAGTGATATAAGCCTAACTTCCGAGGGATTCGGTGATTCACTTACCACGCCATTAGTGCAGCAAAGTAATGCACATATTAATATTTCAATTGTGTGAATTCGTATTATAATAATTATCTTTCTTAACATTTAGTTACACAAAAATGGTGGGGAACTAAAAGACTTGATTACGCTCTTTATTGTCCGGAAGGGTTGACAAATTTTCCAGTCCATTCTTTGCCCTATCTTTTTCATGCAAGTTTCTGGGAATCCAATGATGCCATTGCATTCATATTAAGACAGGTATAGAATTCAAATTCTCATAATTGCTTCATCGATTTATTTATTAATTGTCGTTTGGAGTATTAAAATTTCATTCTTTTTCTCTTTAATTAGTTGGTTCGAACGGATTTACTACCTTTAAGTGAACCTGAAAAAGAGTTTACTCCTTTCGTACCGAATCAAGGAAAAGAAAAATGGATTCGTAAACGGACCTCAATCAAACTTAAAGTAATGTCTACAGTATTTTCAAATCACAATGAAATTTATTTTATATTGTTATTTCATCACAGAATATTACAGCAAACCATCGCGCTAACGATGTAATAGTCAAAGAAGGTGCAGATCAAATAATTACTGCTCGTTTTATGTATGGACCACTGGATGTTGTAACTCTTACCGGTGAAAAGGTCGATATCCATATGATGAAAGACTTAACTCTTGGTGAATGGACTTATTTGAGTACAGAAACAACTGATAAAACAGGACGAATCTCGTATTCCATTCCTGCTGAAAAGGCTTTAGGATTTGGGATTTATCCATTTAAACTTATTGTACGGTAAGTAAAGGACATTTTTTCTCGTTTTTTAATTCTTTTAATTAATTCAAATCTTTTTCTTTGATTCTTCAGCGGTGATCATACATCAATAGACTTTTTTCTTGCTGTTGTTCCTCCTAGAACAGAAGTTGTCGTTTTCAGTATTGACGGTTCATTCACAGCAAGTGTTTCAGTTACTGGAAGAGATCCAAAGGTTCGTGCTGGAGCAGTTGATGTTGTTCGTCATTGGCAGGAACTTGGTTATTTAATAATTTATATTACCGGCCGACCTGATATGCAACAACAGAGAGTAATTTCTTGGCTATCTCAGCATAATTTTCCTTTTGGTTTGGTTTCATTTGCTGATAGAGTATCAACTGATCCTCTCAAGCATAAAGCAGAGTATCTTAAGTATCTTCAACAAGAGGTTAGCTTATAAGAAAATTCACTAATCTATTCAAATACAATGTAATTAGATCAACATGATTGATTTTTATCTCTCCATAAAATCTTTATTTCAGAGTGATGTTGTAATTCATGCAGCTTATGGATCTTCAAAAGATATTTGGGTTTATCAACAAATTGGATTAAGACAAGATCAAATCTACATTGTTGGCAAAGTATCAAAGAAACATCAAACCAATGCAAGGGTTAGTTTAATACTATTTAATCGATGAAATTGATTACTGATAATTTTATTAATCCCTTTACATCCCATTTCACGTATTTAGATACTCAGTGAAGGATATGCAGCTCATCTAGCTGAGCTTGTGGTTCCTGGTGCTTGTAGACCTGCAATGGGAAATGCACGAATGGTTTTACCTCGAGGTTGCTTAGGAATGGGAACTTATCCTGGCTTGGGAGGAATCCGAAGTCGAAAATCAGCTAAAAAAACAGCTTCTTACCCGCTGTCCTCTGGCAACCAAGGAAATGACTCGCCTGGTACATCTGGATGTTCATCTTCGTCTAACCATGAAGCAGGACCATTTACCAGTTTTTTCGGCACTCGAGGAGGTTCAAATAAATCCAAGTGATCCATCAATAATGATTAATATAAATTAATAAGCATAAAGAAAAATTTACGATATCTTGGAAAATTGTTGCATTTTTACCAAACGTTTTCTCGTTTTACCTCTCTTATTGACTCAACTTGATCTTAATAATTTCTTCTAATTGTTACGATATTATAGCAGTTGGCTGCTTCTTTTTCTCATTGTTGTTTTGATTTTCTACTTAGTTCCAATTATTGAATTGTTGAGAGAGTACAATTAAGAAAATACACAAAGTTTCAAGTTGAATTGTTATCTGTTGATGTTTTGGCTTTAATTCACATATGTATCATGATTAAAAATACAAATAAACTCATTAATTGACTATATTTATCATTTGAAATCCTTTTGCAAAACTTTTGAAATCAATCAAACATTAGACTCTCAGCTCGGGACAAATTGAAAATAATAAAATCTAAATTTGGTTCACTTTTTCATGATTTATCATTAATAGTTGATTGAACATTCATAACTATTAAATCAGGACAATCGAATCATGTTTTTGAATCCTGTCTCTTGAAAATAGTATTTGGTTTATAACGTTTCCAACAATGGCGTTTCTAATTTTGTTAAATGATCATTATTATTATCATTCTGTTAATATCATAAAGAACCATAGACAAACCTTTTAATTATTTTCACCATAAAACCATATCTAACCAATTCAATTACTATAGTTCCATTATGCATTCAATATCCTGTTATTGGAATCAACAGAAAGATTTTAATTTTAACGATTCCAAGTATAAATTACCACAATTGTGCTTGCATTTAAAACTTATTTATTTGTCCATTTATATTGGTTTTTTGTCCCAATGGGTAAAAAATCAATGGATTCAGTGATCATTGCCATTTACAACTTGAGTCTAATGATTATTTTCCTTTGAATTTTGTTTTTGGAGTTGAATGGAAGACTAGAAACATGAGAAACAAGGAACCCGGAAGACATCGAATTGTATTGTTTCCATGGTAAATGCTCAAACCAAAACAAGCCGGGTGTTCAAAGATCATTAGACTTCTAGGCAGTTTATTTACTTCTGTATCAACATCTAATTCATGACAATTTACAGGATCACGATCTTGATCACCATTCACTGTTTCTAGTTTGAATGAAGCTGTACCAAATAACCATGGAACCCTTGGAGAAACGGTAATTATCCAATTTATAAAAATCTATTTCTTCCAAATGGTCAATGTTAATTAATAATTGTTGTATCCTTTTCCAGACTTGAAGCTTGTATTGGTGAGATTAAGAGTCTAATTTGTTCACCATCAACAGACTTGGTCAACTCTTCGGTGTCACAGTCATCTAAGGTAGCGAATAGGTTACTCGGGACAATTTACGCCGATGATACGCACAATGATATTGATTGGAAAGCTCTTTTACTCAGATTGTACGAAGAATTGAGACAAACGGAAGAAAAAGATGAAGAGAATGAAGCCGAGGAAGATAAAGATGAGTATTCTTTCACTTTAGATTCAATTGGAACCTTAATTGTTATGATGAAAGATCAATTGAAAAAGTGTCTTCAATCAAAACCAACAACAACAGATGACAATTTGACTGTTGACCCTTCATTAAGAAATTACGAGTCAATTTCAAGAAATACAAATGTTCCCAATTACATTACATTAACTCAAAACAATGTTGAAGTCAATGAAATCTGGGAAACTCTGGTTCACTCTTTGAAAGATTTAATTATTGATCAATTGGTGGCTACAAATATTGACAATCCATTGCAAAAAGAAGCCTTTTACCATGAAATGATCCTGTTAAACTCATTGATCAGTTCATCAGAGGAAAGTGAATTATTTACTGTTTACAATTCCATTCGAAGTCAAAGAATAGAGAAACAACTGTTAATCGATCCTGTTGATTGTTTCAATTTAGAAACAATTGTTGACTGTATCAAGAAATGGGTTAACTTTGACTTGGAGCTAGTTGATTATTACCATCTATTTTACAATCAAGTGACTTTCCATCAAATTGTGACTCCTTACATAATTTTAGTGAAAAATTTAATCATTGAAGGATCACCAATGAAACAATCTCACAATGAACCAGAGAAAATTTTAAAACTGATTAACCTCTTACGTGATCTTGATAGTTTCCTCTCTGAACGTGATACTCACATTCCTTCTGAAAATATGTCACCTTCCAAGGATATTCATGATATTTGGGATTGGCGTGGTTACTTTGTTTCTCAAGGAGTTGACAACTTGTTACTGCGTTACTTGAACCAAGGGCTTAATGATTTAATGTCTTCAACTGCTTCTTTAAACACTAAACCAGAAACTGGTCAGCTAACATCAATAAACCAATCGGACAATGTTTTGTTAACCATTAATCAAATATTTAAATTTCTAGACTCTTTTGAATCCATTGAGTTGGCTGAGTTTAAAACCTCTTCAAAAGTCATCGTAAACGTAACAATAGTCGACTTTCTTATAAAGACTTCAGAGATTTGGTTAAAAGAATCGACTCTTCCTATTGAATCTTATTACACTTTGTACAATTCATTTCTCTATTCACAACGGAAACTTGACCATCATGGATTATCTAATGGTAAAATTGATGATGTTATAAGCTCATTACGGTCCAAGATTGTCTCTTCCCATTTATCATTGCTTTTGTTTTCCTACAAGAGTCTTGATTACATTATAATCTACATGAAAAAGCTTTCGATTAATATGCTCAATTTAATTCCATATGAAACTCAGGATGAGTCTCACATATTTATCAACATTTTAACTCTTTACATGGCACATATTGTCAAAATTAACATCGAATTGTCAGATTGTTTAATTCTCTCATCCAATCTGATTGATTTACTGATGCCATTCGCTGTCAATGTGGAGACCTTGTTTTACAAAAGCTTCCGTGATATTCATTCATGCTGTTGGCTTCTCTTGGTTCGAGCCATTTTCTTTTATGCACCCATTTCCATCCTGAACCAAGAACTTTCTTTAGGATTGGATAACAGCACCAATAATAAAGAAACAATTAAACCAGTGACGCCAAGTAAATTTTCCTCTCCCACCAAACCAAAATTTAAATCAACCTCCAATTCATCATCGTCTCCCTTGTCAACCCCATCCTCTCGCCATTGGACCAATCTTTTTGATTTGTATATTGAAACAATTCCTCGACCATCCAACGCTTATTTAATCTCCCTTCAGCGTAAACGACCTGCTTGGTCTGCGCTTATTCGCCCTTTTCTTGAATCACGACTTTCTTTTTCCATTAATGTCTTCAACCATTTGGAGGTTACACCTGAAAATGAAGAAAAGGTTATTGCTTTTTTATCAAACATAATAACTGTTTCTTGTCTCAATGAATCCAGGGAAAAGAGTGTAAGTTACCTGTTATTTCCAATCATTCAAAGGTAAGATCAGATCAATAATCACTTCTTCAAGCTTTAACAAGTGATTTGTTACCTTTTACTTTCCATATTTTAGGAATGAAGAATGGCGTTGGTTGGATATTACAAAGATCACAGCCAAGCCGAAACCTTGGTGGTATCAAGCCTTACACAAAGTCATTGATGAAACTGTATTCAAATTTGTTCAGGCTGCTTTGATTCCACTCGCTTACCGGTTTTTGCTTCAAGTATCGAAATACAAGTCTTATTATGATGAAGCAGGTTTGAATGAAAGATATGCCGGTAAGTTTTTTATTGATATCTCATTCATTTTTAGTCCATTTTTTAATTTTCACATTTGTATTTGTTATTATTCAGAGTATGATGAAACTTTTCTGATAGATGAAGCCACAAAATCATTGTTATCAACCATACCAACAATTATGGAAATACTTCCATTGCCATTGATAGCAAGTCTGGAAGATTTAAAAAATATCAAAATGATTACAGTCAAGACACTTTATAATTCTTTAACTGCCCAGGTAATATTTCAATCAATTAGAGAAACATTACCCTTATTAATCTTGGTTTGTTGTTTCTATTTATTCAGATTATTTTCGGCTCCATTTTAAATTGTTTAACTAGACCAATATTAATCAATCAAACATTAACCCAAATTGGCGAAGCTTTTACTTCTAAAGTCGCTGATAAGTTGGAAAAAATGGTTATTACTGAAGGTAAATGGCCGTCAATGATTAAAATCGTTTCTTCAATTGTTGAAAGACGACTTTCTAGTAAAACAAATTATGTTATAGCATCGGAAGCAGATCAATTTGATTTAATGGATACTTTAGTGAATTTGGATCCAAAACTCCAAACAATTGTGGATTCTCTATACAATTTTTTAGTCTCCAATTCATCGTTATTGGTTAAAAATGGCCACTTAACGAAAGATCAACATTTTAATCTCAATTTTGAATCAACGGCATCAATACAATTAACTTATAACATCCTTGAACACTGTGAAACAATTAAAACACCAAAAATCAGTGAAATCACAGATGAAAAGTGGATTCAATTGATTGGCCGAGTGAAATCGAAACTTTCACTCCTATCAATCAGGCATATTATGCTAGAACGAGAAAAAGCGGAAAACTAATGATAATTTTGAAATTGATTTCTAATTTTAATAAATTTTATATTCAATGATTTTCCTATGTTCATTTGACCAAGTAACTGATTGATGTGAACAATCAAAATGGGAAGAAACTGGTTTAAAACCAGAAATAAAATGTAAATTATTGCAAGAGTTGAAAGTAAAATATCACTTGATTGAATCTTGGAAGTGTTTAATCAATAAGTGATCTAATATACGTTCATACTTACATATACACTGTTTGTTGAAGGTTTGTTATCGAAAGGTCAAACGACCATTTATTGAGCGTAAATTATCGTTTACCGTATCAGCGTTTATCCAAGGAATAGAGGATTTTTGGATTGATTTATTGCAATTCAATTTACAATAAATGAAAGTGATAACAGCAATAACAATAATCGTTTAACTATTTTAGTTGGCTAAATGAATAAGCTCAGTTTAAACTAAAAAACTTGGAATCTAAATTTTGCCCAAATTCAAACTCAATTGACATTAAATGTAACATTATAAGACTCACCTTTAAACTTTAACCATGCTATTGTTATAGCAACATTTTCCCCATTTTTATGAGTGATTTATTAAATTTGTTTTCACCAATTTGGGTAACAATATATCTAATAATGATGATTTATTAAACCAATTTAAATTAGCAGTCTTTTCAGTTGATCAATCAAAATCAACAATAATTGGGAGGGACATGAGTAAAAACATAACTCTTAACTCATCTTCAATTAAATCAGTTTTCATCAATTTGCTACTCCATTTTAATCAGTTGATTATGTTTAAAGGAAAAAGTGATTTGCATCACTAATTTAACTAACTAATCTACTAATGTTCACTGTAACTGATCATGATCATGATTATCGGGTTATTGTTGATCTTGATGCTATTTCAGTTCAAAGTAAAAATGAGAAATAATTTTAACGTTATTTAATATAATTAAAAAGCTCACGGTCATTGACGCTTGTTATGATTGTTATTTTTTATTGTAATTATTAGTGATCCTGTTTAAATTTATGATTAACTGTGACACTCCAAAATCATCATTAGTTGTTGATCATCTTGTGTCATGTTACGCTCTTACAGGTAGGCTGACGAAGGTAAACTTTTATTCTCCTTCAAATAATAACAGTTTTTAAATAATAACAAATAATGATATTAGTGTAAGCTAATCTTACACTAATCAAGATAATCAGCCAATGAATCGGTGAAATTTTTCATTGATTACGTTAACAATTTATCAATATTTTTCATGCATATTTAACTTTGAATGAAGTTATGCTGTGAAACATTTCACATTCAAATAAACATTCACATTGTCAACAATATTAATCGTTATTTAATGTACATGAAAAGACCATTAAGTCAAATAAAAAACTTTTATTTCTTATTATGTATTTAATGTGTCTTGATGCAATCAGAGCAAAAATTACTAGTCAATCTAATATTTAAAGGAGTGAAAATAGTTTTGATTCAGATTTTGATTAGAAAAATAAACAGAATTCTTTAATTCATGCAAAAATCATTGATGAGAGTGATAACAAATGTTAGCATATGATGACATAAGGAAACAATTTTATCCAAAAAATGGCTCCGTGTGAATATGTAAGCAAATCATAAGTGGCAGAAAGGTTATGGTGAAGACAAAAGGATGATGATATGGTAAAAGAAAGGCGGAAGATATTGGATAGAAATGGACCGTTACCGGGCCAAAATAGATGAGGTTGACGAAAATGAAAGAAAATTTGTGGGACAATTTGGCCCAAGGCACAGATAATGAAGACAAAGAGGCTGTCAAGAGTTTGACGATGAGTACGATGAGTACGGTGAAGACGATGAAGACAATGAGTGTGATAATGAGGGTGAAGAAGAAAAGGTGAAATGTTGAGAAAACTTTCACTCACAAGGCCATTTCGTATGCTGTTATGGTGATATTTATGTCAAGACCATTTGACTAGCTTTTTCACCTTTTACTTACTAACTTTCCTTTTCGTCTTATAATATCGTTAAGGAAACTTTTAGCAGGCCAACATTCCATCTGAGCTTTAACATCGACGAATTTCTCATGCATTTCTCTAAAATCTTGACCGTCGGGTTTCTTCTACATTGGAAATCAATTTTTCTATTTATGAGTATATGAAGATGCTTTATGACAATGAGGATGATTTCTTGGGTGATATTTTATTTTTATGCTCTTTCAGGCCAATATCCTGATTGACTTTTCTCTTTGGAATCAGGTGATAAAGGTGATGATACTGGTGATGCTGGTGAATCATCAAAATTAGATGGCTTTCTCAAAGGTTCAGATGAGGGGGCTGAGGATGGCAAGGCAGAACTGGCAGATTGATAGTTGGATCTATTGCGTTCATCTTCTTCAGATGATGTGGAAGATGATGATGATGAAGGTGATGGTGAAGGTCCATGTCCAATTGATCCACCATGATTTCCTCTTCCATCCCCGTAATTCATTCCCATATATTCTTCTTCGGATCTGATTGGTTCATAAATGGGCATAGAGCTGTATGGAACTGGATGATGGACTGGAGAGTCTCGCATAAGTGAACCAGAGTCACCATAAGCATTGAAGCTGTGATGATGATGAGGGGAAGATAATCCGTGGGAGTGATGACCATAGTCTTGATTACCATGATTAACTGAGTGAGCAAAATGATGTCCTAATTGTTGAGCGGGTAAAAGTGAAAACATTTGTCTAGCTTCGGACATTGACATTACTGATGGGTCGATAATACCATGATCACCAATAGAACGAAGATGGGATCGAGATGCAATTAAGTTTGATGCGAATGCATTAATAAAAGGGTTAGATGAGCCAACTTGATTGTTGTAGCCATAGGAGTTAAGCTGAGATTGTTGTTGATGATTGGATGATGAAGGTGAACCAGCGATTGAGATGGGACTGTTTGCTGAGACAAACACTGGCATCATACGAGTACCTGCAGTTGATTCAAAACCTGTGTTGCGACGGTGCATAAACTTGTTATCATGAACAGGAATGTGTACAGGAACAGGGACGGCGACAACCTTTCCATGGTCATGTCCATGATCTCCATGCCCACATTTACAGGAAGATGAGCAGCCACCGCCACCACCACCGCCTCCAGAAGATGCAATAATAGTGTGACCCTTACCTTTACCACCTTTACCTTTTTTGCCTTTAGGAGCAGTCTTGACAATAGTTTTTGCTGAGCCTCCACATTTGCCTCCACCTGTATTATTTATTACTATAATTCCGGATTCCGTTCCTTTTTTACCTGCTTCACAAAAGGTTAAGACCATGAGGGTTACTTGGAAACTTAATATTATCCATTGGAAGTTCATCTTGATTGACTATTCTGTAACTTTTCGATGAATAAAATAAAACACTTGTTGATAAAGTAGAATAAATTGTCCGGTTTTGTGAATTATTGGTTGGAGGATGAAAAAATTTGTAGAAAAGAGAGAAAGAAAACGAAAAAAAAATTAATTTCTTCCGATTAAGCGGTAGATGCTTGTGAATTGATGCTGTAGATTTTTTGATTAGGAGGGAAAAGTTATTCAGAAGGGAAAATTAAAATGGCAATAGTTAATATCACTTAAACTCACATAGATTTTGGTAGATTGTAAAAACTTTGATGTTACACTGTTTCTTGTTTCACTTGAATATTGTTTACTTTTGAATGTATCTATTAAACGTTGATGATCACGAATGGACAAGTTTTGCTGGCTGATTTGTTAACAATGAATTTAAAGTTGTCACTTCAAGTTGAAGTTGTTCTGAATGGTTTAACTACAAAATGGTTCATCAGGTGATTGTGTTACTTGAGTTTATTTAAAATATTGGTGATTCGCTTGGTAAATCACTCTCACTCACAGAGCGGGAGAGGAGTTAAACAGAGTATTAAGTCAAGAGTGTTAAGGTGAGGGTGGTAAGGAAAAAGATGCATGTAAAATATAAAAACAGGAGGGAAGAGAGGGCGGGAAAGATCAATGATAAAGACGATGAGAAGAACAAAAGAAAAAAATAAATGGAAGCAAATGATTTGAACTTTGAATCAACTTAGGCCGGGTAAAGGCTAAATTGAAAAGAAAGGGAGAAAGTAAGGGGGAGATGAAAAATTGGAAGACAAAAATGAAAGTAAGAGATAGAAAGAGACATTTTGTCTTAAAATATCTACCAATTTTTTAACGGTTAACTTTTATTTTAAACATTCGGTACCTGGTAATTTATACTAATCTTGGTTCCTTTTTTTCAATTATAATCTCCACTTTTCTTCCTCTTCACCTTAACTCTTCATCATAATTTTAACCAAATTTTTGTGGACCAACAATATGGCGACCGCACACTCAACACCAGAAATGATCTCTAATTAAAGATACTGGTAAAATCTGGTAACAGTCTTCAACAGTTTACTATAATTACCAGTTTTTACCAATTTTTACCAATCTTTCAATCTTGTTTAACCAATCTTACATAAATTTATTTCAGTATTTCTCAACTAATTACAAATATTATTTTATCAGTGAGTGTTCATTATTCATTTCATATTTGGATGTAACTCCTGGCTTTCATGATGTAACTAAAAGGTGAACATTTTTACATTATTACATCTTTTTTGGGTTTTATTGGTTTGGCTTTGAAAATCCCAAATTGGTTGCTGGTAATGTTTTTGATCACCTTAACCAAGCCATTAACTCCACTAACTTTATTGCTATTATATATTATTTTGGTTAATCCACTTGTAATCATTATTAAGGTATGGTTAACCAAATGATGTAACAATAAAAGTAAAAGGATGAAATTTATTGGATATTAATAATGTAACAACATATAAGAGTTCAATTGTTGTTTCAATCAAAAAATAGATACACTATTAACATATTAACACCTCAATATCAAGGGTAAATGTCTTCAATCTCATCTAATAACTGCAATCGTAACCAGAATCAACTTAAATTTAAGGCAAGTTTGTAATTCAATAATCAATACGAGAAGATATCAAAATCAATTTGTAATAATCATGATATAAACGGCAACAACAGTTAATCTAAATAGGAAATGATTACACTGAATCTATTGCGACTTTTACTTGACTATAAACAGCACTAATGATGTGATCTTGATTTGCATTAAAGGTAAACGATTAGTGTTAATTTTGTTTCACTAAACTGTTCAAACAAACTTCCCACTAAACGTTTTGAATACAAATTACATTAAATGCTAATTTTAAACTGGTCTGGATGTGACTTGTAATTGACAGAACTTAATTATTGACAATCAAAAAGTGAATCCAAGCCGATCCATTTTTGTTGAATCATTAAGACTTTAGGTTTCAATTACTGCATCAGTTTAAGCTTTTTCCATTAAATTCAATCACTAAGAAACAATTGATGACAAATTATTAAAATGATCAAAAAAGTAATTTTATATTGCAATTGAAAGTTGCAGATCTCATCAAAATATCAGTAAACTGAGATCAACCTGAAATTTATGATTAGGCTAGAAGGAATCGATACAAGAAATGGTGATAGCGCATAAGCTGGCGATGTTTGTTTCAATTTGTCGATAGAGAAAGCTAATTTAATTACCATGAGGTTAATAAGAAATTAAGATAAATCCTCGAGAACAGTTAGATCGTTAGTATTCACTGGTTTTTGTCAAAAGTCATGAGTAAAGGTAAAGATGGTGTTAATCGAGTGTTACTAATTTTTACAATTAATTTATGTCTAGCATCATTAAGTTGATAATGGACTAGGAAGGTCTTGGAAGCTAGAAATGTTTGAAAGTATCTTCAAAAGATTGAAACAATCGAGTTGAACTGCAAAAACTGGCATAAATAGTACCTTCTGTCGGTAAACTTGAAGATACGCTTTGCTTGGTATCGTCAAGTTTTTCGACAAGAACTATGGACAAAGACATGCTTTTAGAGCCGAGAGTATGGACTTTGTGGGTTTGAATGACCATAAAAACTGGAATTTGAAATCATGAGAGCTTATACATTGAACTCTGAATATTTAACATGTTTACCATAACGTATTTTGGTCAAAACATAAGTTAAACACAAAAACAATGAAGAAAAAGGTTTTTACTCTTTTAAAAGACACATTTAACACATTTGTAACATTTATGCATCAAACTTGTACACAAATGGTCTAAAAGCGGGTAAAAATTGGCTTCTTTCAAGTTTAAACTTTGGCAAGTTGTGAACACATAAAAACTGAATCCTTTAGTGCGATTTAAAGGTTTCTCACATCAATAGTTTTCGAGAAAATCGAGTCCAAAGTTGAAACTTCGATTGCCTTTTGTACATTTGTGGGACCAGATTTTTTCATCAGACTTGATCTAAATTCTGTAAATTTAAATGATCAACCAGACAATATACTTATTTTTAGAAATAAAATTCTCTGTGTTCTGTAAAACAGATCAATTCGATTTTCGTTTAAACCGACCTCTTTCTGTGATCGGGAAAGTTAGAGATCTGAAACTCACTGTATATCCATAAAAACTGTTTGCGCAAATTGTGCTCTGATT